GGCCTTTTTTTAAAGAAAACAAGCAGTTAGAAAATGAATAGAGAGCGCAAGTGTTAGAGGGCTAAGTCAACAAATAGATAAAATAGACTTAGAATAGAGAGTGCTAGAGTTAGAGGGTCAAATAAAGATGGAAGAAATGTGTTTTAGCTGTTTCTTGAAGATGGCTAAGGACTCAGCTGCTTGAATTTAGTTGGGCAGGTTATTCCACCAGGAGGGAACAGATAATGTAAAAGTCAGTGAAAGTGATATTGTACCTCTTTGGAATGGAACAATAATGCGCCATTCACTTGCAGAACACAAACTTCTAGAGGGCACATAAGTCTGAAGTAATGAATTTAGGTAAAGGGGTGCAGAGCCAGTGGTGGTTTTGTAGGCAAACATCAATGCCTTGAATTTTATGTGAGCAGCTATTCGTAGCCAGTACAAATTGGTGAACGGAGGTGTGACATGCTTTCTTTTCGACTCGTTAAAGAATTATCTTGCAGCCGCATTCTGGATTAATTGTAGAGGTTTGAAAGAACTGGCTGGAAAACCTGCCAAGAGAGCATTGCAATAGTCCAGTCTGGACAGAACAAGAGATTGAACAAGGAGTTGTGTAGCATGTTCCGAAAGTAAGGGCCTGATCTTCCTAGTGTTGTATAAAGCAAATCTGAGGGACCTGGCAGTTTTAGCAATGTGATCTGAGAAATTCAGCTGATCATCAATCACAACTCAAAGGGTACTGGCTGTTTTTGAAGGAGCTATGGTTGATGTGCCTTAGGGCTGTCAAAATGGCTGAAAAACTATATTCGAATTTAAAATGCATAATTTCAGTTAGGGTGAAGAAAAGCTTTTGGCTTCTCTCGAGGCCACAAGAGGGCGCATCGAGCAAAATATTACTAATGCACGTTTATTCAAAGCATAATAACATGACTATCTGTGAAAAAAGTGCATAATGTTTAAAATAATGTTTATAAACCAATTATAATTAAGTTGCTTAAACAACTATAAACAAAACAGCATCATGTATGTATTCATAGTTTAATACAAAGTGCCGAAAGCCAATCACACGAGTACATTTCTCGAGATATGTTTTTTCAAAGTTAAACTTGCATTAATTTTACATGGCTTTCTAAACATGAGGCTCTTTTGTGCGGGACGAGAGTGCAATGGTGATGGATGTCCCTCTAGAAAAGGCGCAAAATATGCACTCTGTGTGAACGGCTTGGTTTCAGTTTTGATGTAAACAAGATCTTCTCCTCATTGATGTTCTCTTTTCCCACAATATTTGTAATTAACAACGCAGCAGCGCCGCATCTAGTGGCTTCAACTGGATAGTCTAACAAAAACATTAAAATGCAACGACACTTACATCGTCATCGCATCTCGTGCGCCACTGATAAGGCTGCCTCCTTAACGCACACCTAAAATTCGAATGCAAAAACGAATGTGGATTTTATTTTAAATTCGACAAATATTCGAAATTCAATTTTTTTTTGACAGCCCTAATGTGCCTAGCTGGATGGTGAAATTGTGATGAAGAGATGGGTTTGATGAAACCACAAGCAGTTCTGTCTTGGCAAGGTTGAATTGAAGGTGATGGTCTTTCATCGAGCAAGAAATGTCTGATAGACATGCTGAGATGCGAGCAGCTATCGTCGGATCATCAGGATGGAATGAGAGGTACAGTTGAGTGTCATCAGCATAGCAATGATATAAAAAGCCATGTTTCTGAATGACAGAACCTAGTGATGCCATGTAGACAGAAGAGAAGTGGTCCAAGAACTGAGCCCTGAGGTACCACAGTAGCTAGATGTTGCAACTTGGACACCTCACCCCTCCAAGATACCCTGAAGGAACTATCTGAGAGGTAAGACTCAAACCACTGGAGTGTGGTTCCTGAGATGCCCTTTGCCAATAGGGTTGACAGGTGGATCTGGTGGTTAACTGTGTCAAAAGCAGCGGACAGATCCAGCAAGATTGAAAATTTGGAATCCGCTCTTGCCAGTCTTAGGCCTTCAACAACTGAGAGCAAGGCAGTCTGGAACTGTTTGAAAAGTGGAGAATTGTGCACTGATGGTTGTAATTTTATTAATGAAGAACGTGGCAAATTTATTAGCTGTTAGAGTTGATGAAGGAGGGGGAGGAGGAGGACAAAGGAGGGAGGAAAATGTTTTAAAGAGCATGCGAGAGTTAGACGAATTGTTAATTTTGTAATGATAGCATGTCGTTTTAGCAGTGGAGACATTAGCAGTAGGGGTGCTCCGATTGATCGGCCGATAAACACGTTGGGATGATTGATCGCGGTCTCTAAAAGGCCGATCTAAAAAATGATCTCAAGCTGATGACGCTGCCGTGAGAGGTTTGGCTCGACATGCAGCGGCACCGTCTCAGTCTCTGTCCGGCGCGGGTGAAATAATTGTAATGCTGAAGGTGAGGTACTCACCTTCATATTTTTTCATTAAATTTCATTAAATAACTTATAAAGTAATTTGAAAACCTTGTGTGAGACGTAATTTCACAAACAGCCATAGCGTACCACTGCACGCACTCTCTCTTTCTCTCTCAAAATACGCAATTGGCTTCAAATCACCACACATCGCGTCTGTCTATAAGCGAGCTGCACGCTGCACAGTTGACACAGGAATTTTCACTTGCACAGTCGAGGCAGTGTCACATCGTCACTAAAGCTTATAAATTGCATTTCTTTTTAATTCTTGCCAGTGTTTATCCTGGAGACTGAGCGCTCATGCACACTGGCAGCGCACACACATAATGCCAAGTTCACACACACTCCGTTTGCAGTGCATATGTGGCGCATATTTTTTCCGCGCTCATGTTAACGGATTAATAAAGCATTCACTGCACACGGTTACGGTCCGGCAGTGCGTTCCAGTAGAGGCGCGTCTGCAGCAGTGCAGAGATCGTTTCCACACCGAGTCTAAAAAATCCCCCCAACAAGAGTCACCTAAGAGGGGAATTCCCCCCATTTTCAAAAATGAAATTAAGGCCCTGAGAAATCCTGATTGGAGTATCACTATAAATAATTTTACATGATAAAAAGAAGGCTTTAAAAATATCGGTATCGGTGATCGGTCTCGGCAGATACTGCTTTCTGTGATCGGCGATCGGTGATCGGCCTCAAAAACCCTGATCGGAGCACCCCTACTTAGCAGAGAAGGAAGAGAGGAGTGACTGATACACATTAAGTTCAGTAGGATTTTTTGATTTGTGCCATACCATTTCTGCAGCCCTGAGCTTAGAACAATGCTCGCGGAGAACATCAGATAGCCAAGGGGCAGAAGGGGTGGTATGGCCTGGCCTGGAAGACAAGGAGCAGACAGTGTCTAAACAGGCGCGTCTGCAGCAGTGCAGAGATCGTTTCCACACCGAGTCTGTTTGCTGCACTGCAAGCGTTGAATTAAAGTAACAGCGCATTGTTTGCAGTAAATATGAACATGGATTGACACAAAAATGTAGTAATTACACCATAAATCGGCGATCGGTGATCGGCCTCAAAAACCCTGATCGGAGCACCCCTACTTAGCAGAGAAGGAAGAGAGGAGTGACTGATACACATTAAGTTCAGTAGGATTTTTTGATTTGTGCCATACCATTTCTGCAGCCCTGAGCTTAGAACAATGCTCGCGGAGAACATCAGATAGCCAAGGGGCAGAAGGGGTGGTACGGGTTGGCCTGGAAGACAGGGGGCAGACAGTTTCTAAACAAGATGTAAGAGTGGAGCAGAAAGTATTAGTAGCACTGTTAGCATCAAGAGATGATAGCTGTTTAGGGGAGGAAGCGAAGATGAAACCATAGCAGATAGCCGTGAGGGTGAGAGTGAGCGTAACGCATCTAATTCTTCCACGAAGTTAGCTAGTGGTCCTTGGGGTCAATAAACAACTACAAAATGGATTTTAAGAGGGTGGGTAATAGTAACGGAATGTGATTCAAAGGAGCTGTTGATGGTAAAGGATTAAATTTCCAATCATTAGAGATAAGCAGACCAGTACCTCCACCTCTTTTGGTCAAGAAAAAACATGGGATTTTTAGTGACCAAAGAGAGTCAGGACATTGTTTTGGTGTCTTATCCAAAGGATTGGTGATAGCAGCTTTCGTTGTTCTGTCACGATTACATTTTGTGTAGTTTTACGTGTGCTGAGGTGGGAGTGTGTGTGCAAAACGTGAGGATTAGAACATGACTGCCTGTGTCTGCTTTCAGCATATGGTGACTGGGGGTATGAAGACAGCACAGCTAAAAGTTGTTTCAGATTAATGTTTTTCCAGAGCGCAGTGGTTTAGTCTGGGCAGACATGAGGTTTGGGGACTGGGTGGTCTGGCTTATGACAGGATAATGGGCTGAGACGGGGTGATGCTTAGTGAATTAGAGGGAGGAGGGATGATTTTATGAATAGTTCAGTGTTGGAGTAGGAATTTATCAGGGTGATAGATAAAAGACTGACCACTTTGGCAGAGCATTATGAAAAAGAGTGCATTTACTGAACACTTGGTCACTTCATGTCTTTTTTTTTTTGTAGATGGGATAGCTGTCTGATTGGGTGTGCATGTTCCTTTTACACTTGGCCACATTAATTGGTCTACACCAAATTCTGTCCACTATATATAAAGAATTCACTTCCGTGACAGATCTAACCAATGAGTGCAATGTCATTTTGAAAGAATTACTCCTGAGAGGACAAATTAATCACCTTTACATACTTCTTTCTCTCTATCAGAAGGGCCTATACCTAACCACTATTGTGCCCATGTTTCTCAGAGAGCGTAGCCGGGACCGCCACAAATCCCGCAGTAAGGAGAGCAGTCGCTCGGAGAAGTCTGTCACTATCAACGCTCCCCCAGCAGAGCCATTGTTAGGAGACCAGTCAGTGCGAGGAGAAGAGGTTCAGGTGAGAGAGGTTTTCTGTTATTTATAGGACTATATGGTGTGAATCACGGGTTAAATTTAAATTTTAATTAGTGTTAACTTTAATAAAACATTAATTAAAAGTTGACTATTTTTTTATTTATGAATATTGATAAATATGTGATTTTTTTTTAACAATGCAACGACGTGCTGTGGTGTTCTTAAAAGAGAATGTAAATTCCTCACACTTTGTTTTTCAATCCAATGTAAATAAATGTACCAATTACATGAATGTTAAGACGTTTTTGACTAATGTTCACAAAAATAATTTGTTGTATTAGTTTTCTTATTTTTCTTCTTCTTCTGCTGCTGCTGCTGCTGCTGCTGCTCTTGAGTCTATGGCATCCCACAGAACCACTTGTGGGAAAGTAATGAAATTTGGCACATGAATAGAGGACAGTCTCATTAACCATAGCAAGTTTGGAGTCTCTAACTCAACCCCTGTAGCACCACCATCAGCTCAAAGTTTCAGTCATGTTTATGCTAATAACTTGAACTGTAATCTCTGGGGGTGTGACAATACACTTAGCTCATGAGACAATACTCGATATTGGGTTCACGAGAATGAGAAGACAATATTTTAACAATATTAAAAAAAAAAAACTTCTATCATGACGTGACTGGTCTATGACAGGTCTTAGATTATCTTGATCCAAGCACTGTAAAGGGTTTGCCACAATCTCAGCTAACTGGCTTCACTCTTGTATGATTTCACATTAGTCTCTTCAGACCTTACAACTGTGCATGAACTATGCATGAGCACATAAGAATTTTTAATTTATTTATTTATTTATTGTTGACTAATAACTTGATATATCAAATCAGTGTTAGGTTAGTGGAGAAACATAAGACAAAAAAGGTTGGGAAACATTGGCATACTGATGATGCAGTTTGGCCTACTTTTGTTGCTTCTTGCTCTCAGAACACTATGATTGTCATACTTGAGTCACAAAAAATTTGACCTGACTCAGACTTTAATTTAAATATGCCACAACAGGCAAACTGCTCACTGTTTTTTTTTTAATCCAGTGAAAAATTGTTACAGTTTCATGTTTTCATGTTGAAAAAGATGTACCCTTAATTTCACCAATTGAGTACTCACTAAATCTGCCCCACTTACAGATCTATATTTTAAGTTATGGCTGTCACAATATCAGATTTTTGCTACACAATGATCATGATTTTTGATGAAATTTGAATTTTTATTTCATTTTTTTGGCCAATGAATCACACTCAGAAGAGTGTGTCTCTCTTTTGTCTGCCATGCCCTCCAACAAGATTTTGTGCAGCATTAGTAGCTACACATTGCGTCGTCATGTTCTTTTTCTGCTTTATGGCAGATGGCAACTAGCTTTAAGGTGCAAATCCACCATCTACTATGTTGGATTGTCAACCAGCCAATTATGCATGGTGCTAAGCCATCAAATATCCACCTCTGACAACCCAAACACACCCACTCTCTTTCATTTTTCTTTTCTTACCCTCTTCCTCTCTGACCTACTTGGCTGCAATGTTTTAATGGTCAGGTTTTGATGTTTGACTAGTGCCAAGAGAATCAGATTCTGTAATATTAATGTGTAGAGCTGTTGTACCTAAAGCCTTCAAGGCACAACACAAGATTATTTTTAGCTGTTCTCCATGAATTTAAGAATTGGTGTTGACTTTTCTGTACAATTTAAACTGGTCCTTTATGTGAAGATATTTGTTTGGAACAAAAATCGTGTTACATTTAAATAAAAAAACTGCAGTTGTGGTTGCCAGAAATTAACCTGTTTGAATAAAAAGTATTTCCTTTGTAACCTAATTTGTTAAGCAGGGCTCCAGACAAAAAAAATCAATTAAGGATCTATTGGCTCCTATAAGAAACAAAATTAGGCGCCAAAGTATTTTTTAGGTGCCACAGAATAAATGTGTTTTATTTATTTATTTATTTGAACACTTTAACATTTTAGTCATACTGTCATGTGTATATGTCTCATCTTTTCTTGACTTTATCAGCATTTTAATCCATCTTGTAGATGTCCTGAGAACTAAGGTTCACCTAAAGTGGGAACCAAGGTTATTATAGTTTTGAAATTTTAAATTAGTTTTATTTTAATATCGTTTTCAAATTTGCTATACAATTCAGTTTAGTTTTTATTAGTTTCATTAATATTGTTGTTAGTTTTAGTTTAGTTTTTATTTTGTGAACACATTTTTATTTAGTTTTTATATAGTTTAGTTTCAGTTTTAGTTTCAGTTTTAATTAAAGTTTAGCAGAATTAACAGATAACTTCCAGAGCGCAGGCCAAAGAAAGAC